CGGATGGGCGGGGGAGGAGGGAGAGAACTAGCGCCGCTACGAGAATTAATAGCGTCGGCCACTAGACGCGGTCTGTATCGTCGCGACCGATCGCTCGTAAAGGAAATGCATTACGATTCGCGACGGGCAAACAACCGCCGCGCCACTTTTAACCCGGCTTTTCGACGCGATATGCCGCCTTCCTTCTTCCACCCTTTTCCCATTTTTCCGACCAACGTGGGAAGAGTAATTGCGTAAAACGATCCAGCGGCGAATGCGGGTCGGAATAATAAATCATGGACAGAAAGGGGGGAGGAGAGGGGTCCAAGTTTCGATAACGAATCGATAAATCTTGGAATATATATATATATATACACTCGATGTATCCATTTTCGCGAAAATATTTCTCTCATCGTGAACGCTACGCTAACGTCCTAGCGCAATGCTAAAGATTCTTTTGAATATTTTTTCGAACGTTCGTTCCCCCTTTTTTTTGTTTTTCTCAAAGTTCCTTAAAGAACCCTTTCTATTTATATTTACGATTCCGAAGCGAGGGCGTTGTTTCTTCTTTCCATTCGTGATGATAATTCGAGTAGGATAAAGAGAGGGGAAAAGATTATTCGCGTTCGAGAAACGGTTGTTCGAAATGCGGCGTTGGATCGGGCAAACGAGGGCAGCTGGGTCGTGTTCGAAATTGAGTCAGGGTCGGCGAGGCTCGGACCGTCGGTACACGCCGAATCTTCTTCTCGTGTACCGAAATAGTATCCGCCGCGATTTCTGGTCCTCGGCCGAGTTTTGGAAACGATAAGCTCGTCCCGCGCCTCTCCCCCATCGCGTTCTCCTCGAATCGTAAAATTCCTGCTCGCCCTCCTCGGGATAAAATAAATACGAAACGTTATAAATCATTTATAAAGCGAGTTGCTGGCGAATAAATTCATATTGAACCGCTTGTAAATCACGCGCAGCCGGATATCGCGCTACCGAACGCCGATGCGTGCCTTATTTCCTTTCTGCCCGTTTAACGTGCAACATCCCCGTATTGGATTCTCGGATTTACATGGAGGCGGTTCGTCATGGATTACGCTTCGCGATATATCACGTGTGTACAGCGTTATAGAAACGCGGGGCGAATACGTTCGAGGTGGCACGTTTTCGCGATAATAATATTCTTTTCACGGACCGCGATTCCTCGTCCACCCACCGTGATAAGGAAACTAAGCTAGAAATTATCTCCTTAACGCCCTCCCTCGCGAAGAGATTATAGAATGGGGGGTGATAAAAGGAAACGATCTCCAATTTCGTTACCACTTAAACGACACGAATATTCCAACAACTGTACACCGGAATACGTAATTTCTAGCGGCGCGACACGACTGCTAGATTTCGTTTCGCGAAGCGGATAGATTGGACGGATGGAGAATTGCGAAGAAAATACTTGGAAAAGGCAAAGGAAAGGATGGAATTGGGATGGCGCGCAAGATGGATCCTAACTATTCGCACGCCACACCTGCCACTCCATTGATCGTGAAGTGATTACGATATATTAAGCGCCTTGCGCAAATTACAACACCCAATTATCCGAACATCGATATTGGATCTGGTAGGGATTTGGGAAGTCTCGCCGGTAAACTGGCGCAATTCTCGAATCGCATAAATCGTCAAACGGCCGTTGAATCGCGAGCTAAATCTCTTCTCTTTCTCTCCCCGTCCATTTCGAATTCAAGAGAGCAATCGTTGTTATTTCAAGTACTGTTCTCACTTCTCGCCTCATCGTTTTCCATTTCTTACGTATCGAGAGAGAGAGAGAGAGAGAGGGAGAGGAAGAGACTCTCGTTAGAAAGTTCTCGACACACGGCGACGATTCGTGGAAACTTTTGGAGGATCTCGTCGAGCGGAGCAAAGGTCAATGTTCCAATTGCCGGGTTTCGGGGTTCGAAACTTTAATTGGAACGATTCGAACTTCTCGTCCGTGTCGCGATGCGCAAACACGAGAGATTCGCGCGAAAGACGGGAATCCGTCCGACCGCGATTCGATGGACGAATCGAGTGAAAAGATCGCTCGGATAACGGCCGACGCACGGTAGGAATTGGAATCCTCTATGCATCCGCGATGCATAGCCTCGAATTTACATCGATCCCATTTTGGAAAACGCACGGTTAATCTCGAGAGAATGGGATGCACGGTTACCGAAACACGACTTATTTGTTCCATACGTCGCGAAGATCGTACAAATTTCACGCTCGTTCACAGATCATCTCCAGACGAAGTAAATTTGAAGAAACATATCGACGATGTTCGAATGCATCTCGATCCCATATACTTTCTGATTCTCGCTTCTGATTCTATCAGCTTAACTTCATCGAGTGGAATCTCGAATACAGCGAATACTGCACCAATAATCCAGTCCCCTGATATTTTATCGGTATCTTACGTTGCTAAATCATTACGGGAGGATACAGCATTCGAATAAAGCACCAGATCCGGAATGGAAAAGGGGTAGGTTATCCCGGCGCGATGAGATACACCGAGAATCGTTCCCTCGAGTTTTTTGTTGGGAGAAGATCGGTCGACTGTAAACTAAAGATTTCGCTGGTATTCAGTTGCGCGAATAGGAATAGGGAGTGAAGAAACTGGGGCGAAAATCGAGTCAATGGATCGGCACCGCTATATATAACGCGCGATACCCTCCACCTCTTCTTTGATTCTTTCTTCTCTCCGGCGATTCTCTCCGTAGGGGGGAGAGGGAGGAGCGCAAACGGGCCAAGTAGCCCTTCCGGTGTACCCGGGGGATCGGAAGGATCCGTCCTAATTGCACGGATGAAACCGTTTTAATTGCTCGGTCGTGAACGCGATAACGCGGTTACACCGGTTCATCATTATGAAATGTGGGACACTTTTAAGCAGGTGGAGCCACTCAGCCACGTTAATGAGATCACAGTCGGTTGGAGACCGAATAAGCGTTCGCCGTGCGATCGAACCTCTTCGAGGTTCGGATATATAACGAACAACTCAGCTGTGGGAACAGCAGTTCGTTAAACGGGTACGCTTCATCTCCCTCGAGAAGAGGGCGGGTCCAAACGACGCAACTTCTTTTCTAATTAATCCGAATAACCGTCCTCCTCTCTTTCTATAAACGGTGGTCCAATTCGAAAAATTATTGGCGCGATCGTTGACGCTGCTTGGTCGTATCGATCCTTCGATCGACGAGATCCTCGAGTCTCGATAACCCGAGGAGGAGCGAATAAGAGAGAACTCGTTGTCTCGCAGGAAAAGTAAGCAAGAGAAATCGTTGGGAACGAATAAAGTTTCGAAAGATCCTTGGACGAACTCGTTGGGGGAGTAAGAGGGGAAGGGGAAACCACAAGACGCAACAAGACGACGCTGTTGTCTCGATACTCGCTCGTTACTTCCCTCTTCCTGTCTCGTTACCTTCAACCACCGATTCACCGCCAACGCAAGACAATTTAAAGCGCGTCATCGTCGTCGCTTTTTCTTACCTCTGCCAAGTTTCGCGTTTCGCAACAGACTGCACACCGCAATAAAAACTTTTCCCACCCCGCCGCGTTACATCGAAACATCGTACGTTTGTCTTCTTCGCCGTTTATATATCGCCATTATCACCGTTTCCCACGTTGCACGG